CAAATCAGTTCTGGCTTGATTTTTCTGTGTTCTTCATCCTAAGTATGTTGTGTCGTCAGCAATAGGGTCTTACAATCTAGCTATGGTGGGTAGCTAAGGAAAAGCTGCGATTGTAAAAATAGTTGATCAAATAGCTGTTTCTAGCTTTATAATCAGGGGATCTGGGCAGAAGGCATTGTGTGAGTCTTGAGGGTGTGTCTGTGTGAACAAAACAACTAGGACACCTATTGAGCCACCTTGATTCATGCTGTGTTGGCAGTGGGGAAAGAGCAAGAGTAGGCCTCCTTTTTTTTTTTTTTAAATAAATTAAAATCGATTAAATGGATTATAACTATAGAATGAAACACATATCTTGGATTTTAGATTTCAAAACAACTTTTTAAATGGACAGTGTGCACTCCCTCCAACCCTCTAACACACACATCACATACTCCCAAGGGCTGGAGGAAAGCTTGAGACAGAGAATCCCAGAAATTTGAAGCCTTGTAGTCAGGTTTAAGCCTGGCTCCCCTGTCCCTTACTGGTTGCGGGACCTGCAATGAGCTTGCTAACTTCTCTGAGCATCAGTTCTCTTCCAGTAAGGGGAATTGACATCTCAGTCATCTCTGAGAACTAGAGATAACTTAAGGAGTCAGGTCTGTTTGCAGCTACACAATTATGTTTTTATCACGGCCGAGCTAACCGACGAATTATCACACATGGACTAGTCATGAAACTCAGCCTTCTTCACTTTCCCAACTTTAAAGCGAAGTGCTGGGAAGAAATGAAATCTCTTTTATCTCTGAAGTTAAACGTGTTTGGTTAGCCTGCTCTTTTGCTCTCTGGGTCCTGTGCCTCACTGATGCCATATCGCCATCTAGTGGTGAAATGGAGTAAGGGCTGGGCGAGCCACCCATTAGCCCTGGATAGACTGGTAAATTCCCAGGAAACCATATTGCTATCCAAACACGATGATAACACTGTCACACACCTGTTGAGAAGTCATAGGATATTTTGATTATTTCTTGGCCTTAATTAATTAAAAGTCACTTTAAGAGTTTTATTTTGTTTGCTTGTTTTTAAAATCCCATCCTATTCTCTTACACAGAATCCTGACAAATAGTGTGGAGTTGAGCCTTTCATGAAATAGGCACTGGCTCAGGTGCTGGAATCTGAGTTAAGGGTTTTAACGCTGCCTGGCTATGTGTGCGTGGACCAGTAAGCTATCCAGGCATTACATAGTCTGTAAGTGTGGGGTTTCACAAGATAATCTATATGGGGCACTTTGTATGGTGCCTGGGGACACAGCAGGTGATCAGTAATAATTAGGTATTGATACCATCATCATCATCTCAGTGTCCCGATACCATATATTTACAAGTATGCCCAGGTGCTTTCTTAAAAGACATCCATGCTTTCTCTTGTACTTGAGGTGTGTTAGCTCTATTCCAGATGGACATTTCTGTATAGGCAGAAATTCTCGCGCCTTGTTGACAGTGGGAGCAGATAGGCATCCAACTTGGCAGGAGCTATCATAAGGTTCAAGGGATGCGAGGAATCTATGCAGAGGCTCCCAGAAGCTGCCACAGCCAAACAGACTTGGAGTCCCTCCCTTAACCATTCCTCATATGGTACAAAAGCTTTTATTTCCTCATGGCAATCGCAGCCATTTCCACTTTGTCCTGAGTCTGTTGTTGGGAAATTATCTTACCAAGGAAACCAACAGGACAGCAGACTTGATTTTTTGTATGTAGAAAGCACATGTCTCCTTTCTGTGTATAAATTGCTGTGTCCACACAGGGGAAAAAAACTCCCTGTTTGCACAAATGCAGCCAGGCTGGGATTAGTAAATCCTGCCTTCCAGTTCTGCCTCTGTCTTTTGTTGACCATGGCCAAGCTCACCAGATAGTGCTCCTCCTTGCAGGAAGTAGAGCCAGTTCTGATAAATGAACCGAAATGACATCTATTGGCCTATGTGGGGTAGCTCACAAATGGCAAGAGAAGGCTGGAGAACTAGAAAATGGGCAGTAGCCAGAAGAAATAGTGTATCTTCAGGGGCCATATAGGAGAATGGGAAACATGGCCAGGAAATCCAGCCAGAAGGAATTGTTTGTTATTTACTCATTTAAAAAATTTCAAAATTAGCATACATGGTATTAGATATCATTTAGGTATTTTTGAAAAAAGTGTGTTTGAGTCCCTATACCGCATCCCTCCACCATCTCACCTACTGTCCCTGTATCCCCTCCCTCCATCATCTCACCCACTGTCCCTGTATCCCCTCCCTCCATCATCTCACCCACTGTCCCTGTATCCCCTCCCTCCATCATCTCACCTACTGTCCCTGTATCCCCTCCCTCCATCATCTCACCTACTGTCCCTGTATCCCCTCCCTCCATCATCTCACCTACTGTCCCTATACCCCATCCCTCCATCATCTCACCTACTGTCCCTATACCCCATCCCTCCATCATCTCACCTACTGTCCCTATACCCCATCCCTCCATCATCTCACCTACTGTCCCTGTATCCCCTCCCTCCATCATCTCCTCTGCTGTCCCTGTATCCCCTCCCTCCATCATCTCCTCTGCTGTCTTTATACCCCATCCCTCCATCTCACCTACTACTCCTATACCCCATTCCTGCATCATCTCATCTACTGTCCCACACCCAACCCCCTTTGTTTACCTCCCCCTAGTCTCTGTTCCCACTTTAATGTCAGTGTGCCCCTCTGACCTTCTTTCCTCGGCTTCCTTAGCACCCTTTTCCCACCCTCTCTTGGTCTTCTTTCTAGTTTTCTAGCTTTATTTGTATCTATGTCCATTTCTATAAATACCTGTATATATTACAAACTAGGACTCACAGATGAAAGAGAACATGTGGTTTTTGTTTTCTGAGTGTGGGTCACCTTGCTTAATATTATGCTTTCCAGCCCCATCCATCTTTATTTTTTTCCTGCAAATTTAATTTTCTTTACAGATGAGTAAAATCCTATTGCAAATTGGTACCAAATTTTCATTATCCCCTTATCTGTTAATGGACATCTAGGCTGGTTCAAAAGCCTCTCTATTGTGAATAGGGCAGCCATAAATATGGATGTGTAGGTATCTCTGTGGCCGGATTGGAGTCCTTTGGATATATATTTTTAATTTTTTGAATAATTTCCATAATGGCAATACTAGTTTGCTCCCCACCCACAGTGAAGAAGGGCTCCTCTTTCCATACATCTTTAACAGTGTTTGTTGTCAGATTTCTTGATGTCAGGCATACACAGGGAATTTAGTACAGAGAGTTTGTCACAGTGAAGACTAACAAGAAAGACAACCATGAAGAATGCAGGAGGTCATGGAGAAGGCAGTGAGCCCCCTGAAGGCTGGGCGTGATGACAGAAGCAAAGGAGGGTTGGGAGGACTGAGGAACACGGAGGAGGAGCCTCTGGGGGTGCTCAGAGCTCTGAGGGGAATGCTCATGGCTGTGTAGATTTGGGGCTTGAGGAATGGACACCCCGAGAGAGGCTCTGCTGCCAGAGAAGACATCTGGCTTGTGCTCGGCATGCAGCTAAGGTGGGAATTCTGGCTGAAAGGCTGACAGAATGAGGAGAAAGCCTCTCTTTGGTCGCCCTGTCATCTCTCCTACTTTGGGAGCTTACAGGTAGGATGCTAGAAAAGTACATGCATATAGACTAGTGCAAGGTCTTAGATTTACAGAGTACAGCATTAAAGGGCTGGCTTGAGGCCTAGAGAAAACACAGTTGACAGGATGAGCAGGACACATAGCCAGGAGTACAGTGTGGAAGTCCTCTGGCTCACTCTCTGAAGCCCATCATCCCAGTGAACTCCACATGAGGTCATTCACTTGCCTGGTCTGCCAAGAATCTGCCAGCAATTGGTGACCCCTGAATGGAGAAATGCTGAATGATTGATAGGTGGTAATTGGTGTGCTAGGAAATTAGTCTTTTTAGCTCTTGGGGCTGTAAGGCTTACAGTGATCCAAATTCCCAGCGGTCACTGTGGATGATTGGCCAAGAGAAGATCAGTGACCCAGTTGCCTATGAATGTCCCAGCAATGCTCGCTTAGTAGGGAACATGCCAGGGCAATCCGGAGATTGTCTCCCCCACAGTCAAGAAAATGTTTACCAAAAGTTACTCCCTAACTTTCCTTGAAATGCTAGTATTTCAGTTGAAAACACACACACACACACACACACACACACACACACACAAACACACGTATATATTTATGCTACACGTATGATTGATTAAAACGATGTGTATATACTGTGGAGTGGCTGTCAAGTTTAACACATGGATCCAGTCCAGCACACTTTTTAACTATAGTCAGAATGTTGTACACTAGGGTGCTTGGCCATATTCCTCTTGTCTAATGGGACCCTTTGGCCACCATCTTCCCAGTTCCCAGCTGTTATTTTAAGGAGGTAATTTTGAGAAATCTTAATGCTGTGGCTTAGACATTGCAAATGATAATTAATTATAACTCTGTTTTTCGGGGTGTTGTGCTATAGATGGAAACTGTACCTCTGGCTTCAAAAAAGCTTTAGCTGAAGATGACATGCATTTGTTAAGTAAAGAATAGTGTTCAAGGAGGAATACTGGTCTGTCACCCCAGCACTACTCTGCACATTTTAGGACTTCAGAACTGCCTTTGTGTGGGGGCTCCAAAATGGTGTTCCCAGTATTCATATTCTAGAAGTTGCTATTTTCATATTTAATGAATTCTTTCCAATACACACAGAAGGTTTTTCATTTGCCTTGTTGCTGCTTCTAGGTCACCCGCAGCTGCTTTGACGGCTTCTCTGTGACCTTTCACACTCTCCCAAAACACCCATTCCTCCTAAGCAGTGAGATTTGAATACTTTAGTGAGATGGATTGTGGCTCTCTGCTGACTGCACCTGTTTGCCTATAGGTTACCCTCTTCATGCCCCTGAAGCCTACTTTCCGTATTTCAAAAAGAACAACGTGACTGCAATCGTGAGGCTGAACAAAAAGATCTATGAGGCAAAGCGCTTCACAGATGCTGGCTTCGAGCACTACGACCTGTTCTTCATAGATGGCAGCACCCCCAGTGACAACATCGTGCGAAGGTTCCTGAACATCTGCGAGAATACGGAAGGGGCGATTGCGGTCCACTGCAAAGGTGTGCTCGAGGTCTCAGGGTCCAGCTGTGCTTGGGAAGGGCGAGCCCGAACCCACCTAAGCAAGGCCTGGCGGTGATAGAAAACAGTGGGATGGTTTTCTTTCGTATTAGTTGAAACATGAGCCTATTTTAATAATCCCTTTCTAAGGGAAGGATTAACCGCCTTGGTCGTGACCCGGCTTTCTGGACAAGCCAGTGCTTGCACTTTTAACTTTTCTAAGCCCAGGCTCATTGACTCTGCACATCATAAGCAGGGGGCTAACCTAGGGGTGTCCGTAGGCTGGAAAAGACCTTCTTCTTTCCATAGGGGACTGTGTCAAGAGGTAAATGTTGTTGGTCCCCTGTCCCCTTTCCCTTCAGAATTGATTATCTTTTCTCTATACTCTTTCACCATCTGATATTTAGGCTTCTGTGGTGTGTGTGTGTTGGTGTGTGTGTGTTCATGAGTGTGTAGGCCAGAGTTCGATAGCAAGTGTGTCTTCCTCAGTCACTCTCCAATTTTTTAGAGAGGGTCTCTCACTGAACTAGGAGCCTGCCTTTTTGGTTGCAATGATTTGCCAGGGAGTGCCAGGGATTCTGCTGTCTCCACCCTCCCCACTCACGAGCACCTGGATTACAGGAGGCCATTACAGTGCCTGGTTGGTATTGTGGATCTAGGGGCTCTAATCCCAGGACCCATGCTTTCTTGGCAGGCATTTTACTGATCATCGTCCTAGCTCCTCTCTATCCTCTTCTACCCTCACTCTGCCCGTCTCCGAAGTCTTATAGAGTGGAAGGTCTTCCCACCCATTACTTGATGTGGGGATATCTCAGGATTAACTGGAAGACTTAGCTATGCAAGGGAATACCAAGCCTCTGGAATGGACACTTTGGGATCGTTCAGAGTGTAGGAAGTGTAGGTCTCAGTTTTAACAAATCAAAATGCAGGATTCCCGGTTAAACTTGAGAGCTATGGAAACGTCAAACTAAGAAGCTCGGGTTCCACTGTTGGTTTTCCAGTTTGGTGTTCTCAAGATCACCACAGAGACATCTCCCTTCTGGGAACGGAGCCTCTAGTTCGCCACCCGCAGCTCTTCACAGTGCCGCGAGGTGGCGCTGCTCACATGGCTTTGGGTCCACAAAGGGTTTTTGTTGCATTTTATGCAAATCGGCCAGTAGGTGTTGGGGATGGTACAGTTCTTTTCATGTGCGGAGCGCTGCTGTAACTGCCTTATTCAGACAGTGTGGCTTTGGTTTTCTGACAGAAATTAAAATACCATTTTGTAGGCCCTTGTTTCTATGTTTAAGATTTGAGTAGGTGGAGGAACTTTGCTGAACATGTGAGCTGTAGCAGCAATGCGAAGCTGCATTCTACCAGCGGCCTGGAAGAGAGGGAAGGGAACCGCACGCACGTGGCCCCCGATTTAGGGATGGCTCCCGAAGTCGGGGTGCACCCACCTTTGACGCAACTCTTCTCTCGCCCTCGCCCTTGCCCTCGCCCTCTTCGTGAGGGACAGACCCTGGCTTGCAGGACAGTCCTTTGGGTTGTTAGATGCTCTGTGAATGTGTTTCACAGCCACCTAAGTTTGTTTTATTGTAACCCTCCGGGCAGGAAGGAAGACACTAAATAGAACCTTGTGCCTGCTGTGTTTGGCTATCAGGCTGTTGAGATAATGAACCCCAAGAAATTGGATTTTCCTCAGGCATTTCATGCTGGGAGAAGGAAAAGGCTGCAGTCTGGTGCCAGCTAGAGGGAGCTCTCTCTCTCTCTCTCTCTCTCTCTCTCTCTCTCTCTCTCTCTCTCTCTGTGTGTGTGTGTGTGTGTGTGGAGGGGGGAGGAGGGGTATTTCACATGACTTGACAACTTGTCAGATCAGGATCACTTTTCAGGTCTTCAGGGGTCACTGGACCTCTTTGTTCCTCTCCCCACTGCAGCATCGACTTTTCTAACGTCTACTCTGAAGTTTATCTTTAATTAGACCCCTGCGGATGAACCTGACCATTTTGTGTGTGTGTGTGGTGCCCTTGGGGTCCAGGCTCTGACCCTAACTCTGGTAACATAGTGTTCCCATATTGTTAACCCTGCCCACCTTTCACGTATTTCAAGTGTGAGCAGAGCCTGAGGGCTCGTGGATTGTGGCAGCAAAGGTTTAGTAGGAGATACTCTATCAACTCTTTCAAAGCTCAGTTTTCTATTAAAAAAAAAAGTCAGCATTTTTCCTACGAAATTAATTTGGCCCTTTCCCTAGTCAGTTTTACTATTACAAGTTCATGTATCTATCTGTATGTTTATAAGCCATATTTTGGATCAACAAATTCAAGGTAGAAAAGACAAAGCTTTCATTTTTTTTTATTTAAAAATTTTTCATGTAATTTTTTTATCATGTCCCTACCCTAACACCTTCTCTCCTCCTTACCTCCTTACCCACCCGACTTCATGTTCTGTTTCTCTCTCAAAACAACAAGAAAACAAAAAATGAAAATCAAACAAAAACCCAGTGAGACAAAAGAAAAAAAAAAGAAAAGCTCCAACAAAATAAAACGAAACAAAAGCCCCCTATCCCCACAAAAAACAAAAAAAGCAAAACAACAACAACAACAACAACAACAAACTTGGCCAACTACTTCTGGGGAAGGAACCTGCCCCAAGGGTGGTTAATACATACAGTGAGACTGGGGAACACTGATTTGCCCTTTGCCAAGGGTGTCGATTACAAATTGATTCTTGGTTAAGGGTGGGACCCTGTGTCTACTTACCCCTCAGAGCTGGGCCCTTCCTGGCTTGACCAGTGTGCCGGTCTTGTGATTGAGTGCCGGCCCAGCCTCTGTGTGAGTGGTAATGGCCCGGCCTCTGAGTGAGTGTGTGATGGCCCAGCTTCTGTGTGAGTGAATGCTGGCCCAGCCTCTGTGTAAGTGTGTGATAGCCCAGTCTCCATGTGCATCAGTCTAGTTCTTGCTGAAGATGGGAATGACCAGGGATCCACAAGTGCAGAGAGTGAGCTACTCTGGAGCATTCTGTAGTATAGGAGATGTCTTTTTAATCCCTCCCCACCACAAACACACACACACACACACACACACACACACACACACACACACACACACACACACCAAGGCTCAGGGATCTAAGTGGAGGTGGAGGTGGAGAGATTGTAGGAGCCAGAGGTGGTGGATGACTCCAAGGAAACAGTGTTTTCCAGACACAGCTTTCATTTAAACGTAGTGTCTCTCTTGATAGCATGTTACATCTAAGAAATACTGGGTAATAAAAACTCTAGGTTAAATATTCTTGTTACAGGCTTTCTCTATATATCACTTACTTATGAATGTTGACCTCTTAAGAAATGTATATGCATTTTTACCAATCGCAGAGGTGTTTTCTCCCTCGTATTTCCAGTATCCCGTTTATAAAGTGTTGAAGTGAGTTCTTGTAGAGGAAAGTCACATTTACATGTGGTGTTATTTAAATAGGAGGTGGCTCCTTCTTCCCCACTCGTTCATGCGTGTAGGATTCTCTTATAAGGATCACACCTTTGGTTTAATTGCAGATGTTTTATTTTTAATGGCGTACTTAACTACCTAGGCTTGCTAATTACTTTGACATCTGCCCTGATTAAATCGGCTTAATTTTCAGGAGATTCAAGCAGTACTTAGTGTTTTAATTGAACTAAAAAGAGGTGGAAGCGAGTCTCCTATCCTTTGCTAAATGAACTTCCATGGGGACTGGAGAGAGAATGAAAATGTCACTTGTCAACATATAGGGTCACACAGAGGCATTAGACACAGCCTTGTTGCAAAGGTCTGAAACTTGTAAGTCAGTGTCTGTGGTTGATTAAAGGAATGGCGGTGAATTTGAGACATTTTCTAGCGTTAATATTAATCTAAAATACAGCAGTGCTGTTATTCTGTTGTGGGCATATTGATGTCCTACTGGGAATCAGTAAAAGGACTGACAGTCTAAGGCACTTGGTATATATAAATAGAGCACCTTGCGCCCTTGTCAGGCTGTGCCAGGGAGCCCGTTAATTACAGATGCTTTAACATTTTTGTTAAAGTTTTAATAGAAACTTAGTGAAGTACTCCTCTTCTGTTCACTGTGGTAAGAGCGCCCAACTACTGAGTGCTAAGTAGGTTCTTTTTATAGACCTAAAATTATAGACTCCTTTCTAAAGGGGGAAGCAACTTCAGTTTCAGAGAAATTTGAAAATTTGCAGCACCACCTTTTGGGTGTGAGTAGGATTAGGAACCTGACTCTGGGACACCAGCCAGCTCCCCTGCTTGAGGAATGGTTGGGGGAGTCTCCAGTAGAAGCCCAGATCCTCTCCAGACAGGGACCCAAACTGGGAACGGTAGGCCCGCTGGTTCTGGTGCCTGCTCTGCTTTTTCTCCATGCTGTCACAGTAGCTTTGCCAGCTATCCGGAGAATTATTCTAACAGTTTCTCCATGCTAAAGCAAGAGTCCGGTGGGACTATGCTTAACTTTACCCTCTTATGGAAGTTGATGTGTGATCTGGGATAAAGGGTGCTTGAGGTAAATAGAACACACACACACACACACACACACACACACACACACACACACACACACATCTCATCTAACAGCAGTGTTTATATGCTTTTAAAACGGAAAGATGAACGGGAAGGCAGCACCAGGTAACTAAGGGCATAAACGTGACTATGGTTTGTCCGTTCAGTTTCATGGTTGACGAAGGTGACCTTTGTCCTTTCACATTCATGACTGATGTGCATTCTAAGCAGTACTGCTTTCAAGTGGGTAAACTGCTTGTGTTGGCTAAAGTCCTCTTTTATTTTTTCCTCCATAAAGTGCAGATTTACAAGCAGGGTATACATACCTATAGCAGTGCAATTTCAGGGTGGGCAATTAGAAATAGAATGTCTATAGATGCTCCTGGGAAGCAGTAATATAAAAATGGCTCAGCAGGTAAAGACGCTTGCTGTAGAGCCTGCCCACCTGAGTTTGATGCCTGGCATCCACATAGTGGAGGAGATAAACAACTCTTGAAAGTTGCTGTCTAATCCCTACATGCACATGTGCACTACAGATAGGTAAATGCAACTTAGTTAAAATAACTACAGAAAACTGATTTAAAGACAATTGTTTTCTACATCTTAATACTTCTTTAGTTAGATTGGGTTTAAAAATTGATAAGCAATAGTGTATATTACACCATTGGATATTATTGCTGTTTAATGTCCATTAAATACTGTGCATTTCATAATGCTGGGAGATTAGATTATCTTCATTTTTTTGGCCAAAGAAAGCTGACAAAGGGGCCCTTGAAAATGCAATATTCTGTTTCTTTTTTTTTAAGTCAGTGGTTTTATTTGTTTATTGGAGCACCAGGGATTGAACCTGGGACTTCATGCATGCAAAACAAACTCTCTACCACTAAGTTACAGCCCCAGCCATAGACTATTCATAAACAAAGCTATTAAGTAGATTCTGTCTCTCTCTCCCTGTCTCCCCACCCCAACCCCCAACTTCTTCCTGCCTCTTTCATTCTGATAGGGACCCACTATTTAATCTAGGCTGGCCTTGACCCTCATGATCCTCCTGCCTCTGCCTTGGACCAGAGCAGCACCTCCATTCTAGGGTTACAAGCATAGGCTGCCCTACCTTATTTTTCTATTTACTTTTCTAATGAAATACTTTCAAGAATGAATTTCAAGGTTAGAAATTTTAGTCATTTTAAAATTCACTATGACCCAACCACAATGTCTTTCTAATCCATCCCTTGTTCCTTATCGCTGTATCCCAGCCTGTCTTGGCCTCCTTCCATCCTTCTCCTGCTCACCCTTCTCTTGCCCTCCCAACCACTTTTCTCTGCCAGATCCACTTGTTTCTATCATGCTACTTTCTTACCCTAAAATGTAGGGCAACTTCATTTTACACTTTCCATTGGGTAAGGAATGTAGGTAGTTTTGTTTTCGGTGGTTTTTCCCTTTTCTTTGGCACTAGGAATTGAACCAGGGGTGTTATGCATGCTTGGCAGATACTTTGCCATTAAATTACATCTCTAGTCTGAAAAATGCACACCCCGGCCCCCTACACATGGTTTTTCAAGGCAGGGTTTCTCTGTGTAATGCTGACTGTCCTGGAACTCACTCTGTAGACCAGGTTGACCTCATACGCAGAGATCCACCTGCCTCTGCCTCCTGAGTGCTAGGATTAAAGGGTAAGGAGTGTGCACCACCACTTCCTGCAGGGAAAAATGTATATTTTTACACGAGAGATATAACATCAGCCATTGCTGCTGTTGTTGAGCTGGAATCCACTACAGTCAGTGGACAGGGTCGTTCCCCTGTTTTTGTCGGTACAGTGGCTACATTTTGCATTGCTTCTGTTTCCCCTTTTTTACAGCTGGTCTGGGAAGAACTGGGACTCTGATAGCCTGTTATGTCATGAAACACTACAGGTTTACACATGCTGAAATAATTGCTTGGATCAGAATTTGCCGACCAGGCTCCATCATCGGACCCCAGCAGCACTTCCTGGAAGAGTAAGTACCCTTCCTATGACTGCATTTCCTTCCGATCCTTCCTTCCTTTTGTTCCCTGGCTGTGGACAGATTATAAAACGACTGCATTGTTGGAGAGGGCGGCACTGCAGGAGACTATTGTTGACTTGACAGCTAAGGTGCTCTGATCTTGTACTTTATATCTCTGAGATCAGATGACAGGGAGAAGAACACCACCACCCCTGCCTACCCCTTTTCTGTCATTCTATGATGTGGCTACAGTGCAATTTTCTCCTGTCATCCCACTGGCACTGCTCATTCCTTTCTTTTGTTTGCGTGTCTAAAAGCAGACTGACTTAAAAAAAAAAAAAAAACCCTCACAAACTGGGGTCAGTCACTGGGCTTAGTGACACGACCAAGCTGCTAGTGAAACTGCAATTTCTGGATTCATGCAAGAAGGTTATCGAGGAATGAGAAGGTAAGATTCATGAGGTTTTCATCCTGGCCAAGGTCGGTGCCAGCTTCATGCTCACTAGTTGGAAGACCCATATACGTTCATTTGTACTTCTGGCTTTTCATCCATCCCCAGGCAACCAGGTAGAGAATGGGTCTTCATTTGTACTTCTGGCTTTTCATCCATCCCCAGGCAACCAGGTAGAGAGATAAATTTGTAAGAATGTTCTTTATGGAACAGCTGCTTTCCCCTTAAAATGCACTTACGTCCATTTTCCCCAAAACAGGAGGAGGAGGGAAGTTTTGGTTTGTTTTGAGGTAAGGTCTCAAACAGTTCTGTTTGGTCTTGACCTCAGTATGTAGCTGAGGACAACTTTGGTGCCTCTGCTTCTGCCTTCTGAGGGCTGGGATGACAAGGTGTGACATGGTGTTGGGGACTGAACCCAGAGCATTTGGCATGCTAGACCAGTGCGCTAACCATCGAGCAACACTTCCGGCCTCGCAGGGTGAGGAAATGGCGTGGTCCAATTCTAACGTACTGTCAGGCACTCCTATATTAATGCAGTTACTTTCATTCTTTTCTGTCATTTCTGTCAGAATGTCTCTGTTGACTAGCATTCTTTTCCATAGAATGATTCCATTCTGCCTTAAATCAGTTTAGTTTGGATGAGACATCCTAAGTAAGAAAGATGTTCCAAGGAAGCTTTTAACATCTGAGATGATTAAGAAGTTCTGAGCCCGGGGGATTACTGGTTTACCAATCCTACCGGGACTAACTGCTAACAGGGAAGTGAGCAGGAAAACCAGAGATGGCTGTGTAATGAGTTTTAAAGAAAAGCTCCGCACAAATAGGGTTGTTAAAGAGACAGAAGTGTCTAGTTTCTCCCCCATGGGAACAAACATAATTAATCTGTTGTTAGGGCTTTATTCTTAATGAGACTCCCAACCACAGGCTTCCTCTAGTTTTCTGTTGTGCATTTTATGCATCTGCAGCATGGGGTGTATGCCATGTGCCTATTCTACTAATTGCTTGGTAATGTGGAATAAGTGGCCTCTAGGTTCAAAACTCAAAACCCAAGCACTCCTAAACCTAATTCCTTAAGCCATTTTCTCAGTCTCAAAATGATCAGTTGGAAGAATGCTCCTTCAAAAGGCATACTACTTGCTCCAGGCTCTCTGCTAGTCGCAGCTTGCAGGACCCAGGACACCACTGTTTCAGGTCACTTTGTTTCCTTCTTCAGGGTCTACCAACTTCCTCCTTTTCTGATCATGTCCATCTCCCAGTGCAGAGAAAAATCACCCCATTTTTCTCTGCCTTAAGAGTCAGGTGCCTTGTCACCCTAATGGTACCAGAAGAAATTAGGGTCATGAGGCACCTGTACTCTGGCTTGAAGCAACACCTTTCATGTGTAGGTGCATACACTATAAGACTTTGGCAACATCCTTCGATGTGAGTCATACTACAGTTTCCCAAGTATCTGCCTTTGCCAACTGAAGTGCGGGAATGACCTACTTCCATAGCTAAGTATTGTAGTGCTTGGATCAGAACCTTCAGAAGGTAGATTTCTCTTATGCCTGTTAATGCTTTGTGAGGTGTTTTAAACTTGCATGGAATAATGTCTGTGTGGCTCACCGGTTCTCCCAGTCTTTCTTAGGCAGTCTCTTTCAGTATTGTGGTCCAGGGCTATTCTGCCAAGTATCAAACTTAACCTTTTACTGTCTTGCTCTCTCCTCTTTGGCCCTTCCTTTCTGCTTTGCCTTTTCCTAGCCTGTGTGTGGTGTTGACCCTGGGAGCTGTCACTTGGTACACCTGGGACACACATTCATCCAACAGCTGCGTATTGTGTGAGGCTTCTACCAGGCTGTCTTCTTGCTTCCAAGGTGTAGTCGTGCACATCTCAGCCAAGGATCTTAGGACCCTTTCCTTTCCACTGGGAGAGCTATGCAAGGGGTGGGTATGTGGTGGTGTTTGATGGTAGTGCTATGAAGATGTGATAGAAACGGGTGGAGTGGGTGAAAAGTAGGAATGAGGAGACCTCTCGGCATGGGGAGGTCAAGGAGAGCTTCACTGACACGTGTTGAGCACTGCAGGACAAGAGAGAGCAAGTTCTGTCCGTATCTTAATGCGTTCCACGTAGGCCACTGTTTCAGTCTAGAGTGAAGGCTAGATAAACAAGGCACTATTTCAGTGCATGGCAACCCCAAAACTCAGAGTTCTGAGGCAGGAAGATCACTAGTTCAAGGCCTGCTGGGCTACATAGAGAAATATATATATTCTATCTCAAAAAGCAAAAACAAAAACAAACAAACCACCCCCCCCAAACAAACCCAGTGTAATAAAACATAGAGCGACAGCTATCATCCATGGACTGTAATAAGATGGATGTTTGAGACATCAGCAAGTTAACAAAGCAATCTGCCCGTATAACCTTCCCATGCCCAAAAAGTAGAAAACACCAGCACCCCACAACCAGGCGGTCTTGTGTTCTTCACCATTCGACACCCAGTTCTTCTGCCAAAGAGACTTGTTTTGACTCGTCACACCATGGATGGATTGTGCAGGCTTTTGAGCCCTGTCTGAGCAGAGCCAAGCAGCTGTGTGTCTAGCACTTTAAATTCCACACTCTTTGAGGCTATTTGGTAACATGACTGTTCATTGCTGTGTAACATTAGAATGTTTGACTATGTGATGTTTTGTTTGCTTGATGCGTGTTTAGGTTGTTCTCAGTGTTGGCTAGCTTGTGTCTTTTGCTTGCACCATCTGTTGGATGCATACCTGTGATGGAGCTGTTGTGTATGTATGCCTTGGGCCTTAGGAGTATTGACTAGCAGTTTCTGGAGGTCTGGTGGCTGAGGGGATGAGCAGAAGTCTGCACTGGTGCAGGGCTTGCATGGCTTCGGGAGCAGAATGAGAGGCAATACAGGCCTCTGGCCTTTGGAGAAATATAAGAGCATGGGAATCTGAAGGGCTGAACTGGATAGACATATTTTCTTACCGCCCCCCCCTTCCTGTTATTAGGCTTAGGAACTTTATCTCAAATGCCTTCTTCTTGCCGTTTTCTTACCGCCCCCCCCCCACTTCCTGTTATTAGGCTTAGGAACTTTATCTCAAATGCCTTCTTCTTGCCTCTTTAAACATAGCATTGAGCTTTCTCCTAGGCAGTTTTGTGTTAACAGCGATTTTTCTTTTGTTCTTCCTCTGTTGCTGTTGAGAGCTGACCAAAGGCTTTCTCTGTTAAATGTAAACAACTTAGAAGAGAGTTATCTTTCTTTCATCATGCACTTCTACATTTGTAATGAGAGGACTTCGGAATAGTTATTTTCTGCTTTGTATGCTGTTAGCAGACACCTGCTAAGAATTAGCCTCCCAAGAAGAAAGATTTATTTGAACTCATGGGCCTCTGAGGTGTCAGCCCAGGATTACTTGGTCCTGTTGGTTTTGGGTGAGCTGCAAGGCAGTGTATCCTAGCAGGGGGCGAATGGAGGAGCAAAACAGCTGGCCCCACCTGATTATGGCTGGGAAGGGTGCCCCCATCACTTAACTTCCCTCTATATCCCATTCTCTAAAGGGTCCTTCCTTTCCTGGCAGTCCCATGGGCTAGGGACCAACGTCATAGACCTTTGGGGGACATTTAGCACCACATTTAGCATTTTTGACATTTGTGGTTACAAATGTCTTTAGGTTTTGGGTTTTCCTCAGTAATCTTTCATTTTCCTGTCAGACACTGCAGGACGCTTCCTTTCCTCCTTCCCACCCTGCCTTCTCTCTTTCCTCCCTTCCTCTTATGAACATTTATTGAAAGCCACTATGTAGGTACCCGGGAAGTTGCAGTAAAAGTGATGGCCTGGTTTTTGACCCATGGATCTCATACTTTGGGGTTGAGGAAAAATGTGTGAACAGACAAATGTATAAATTAAACGGCTGCTCTGATGGATGCCATGCAGAAAAATAAACCAGGAAAGAAGAATGGGGTTGGGGTGGGGGTGGAGGAGAAGACAGCTTTAAGTAGATAGTGCTTAGGGGCCGCATTAGAAAGTGCAAATCATGGGAAATCTTAAAAACTTTTTCTGATTTCATTTTCTAACTTTGGTTTAATTTTTAATCTGACAAGTCAACATCATAAATGTATATGGTATACACAATGATCTGAAATGTGTGTATGTATTGTGGAATAGCTAATTAAGCTAATTAAAAGATACATCACCTCACATATGGTCATGCAATATGACACAAACACTGAAAACTCCTCTTGTTCAGCAGTTTTCATGTGTACATTGCTGCTAACCAGAGACACCATTCTGAACCACAGCCCTGTAGAGCATATTCCTCCTCACTAAAATTCTGCATTCTATGGTCAACATCTCCCAGCCCCTTCATCCCCAGCCTCGTGGTGGTCATCACTTTACTCTCAGCTTTTGTGAGTTTGACCTTTCAGAGTCTTCGTACAGTGAGGGACTGCAGTATTTGCCTTTCTGTTCTTGGCTTATTTCACTTAACATAAAGTCCTCCAGGTTCTTCTGCTTTGTTTTATTGTTTTGTTTAAGGATCAAATGCGATTGCAGAATACCCTGCTTTCTTTGCATGGGTG